AAGGTTCAAAGCTGCCAGTCCTTCCTTTGCACCGTTGACAACCTCAGCTTGTAAAATGCTGAATTGCTGTTCCTGCGTATCCAACTTCTCGTTGATCGTTTTATACTGGTTATCGAACTTGTCGTTGATTGTTTTAAACTGGTTATTGATCGTTCGAAACTGATTATCCATACTCTGCTGCAGTTGATGAATCATGACGGCGAGATCTCCGCCACCGTACTCGGCAGCTGCATCTGCGAATGGAGACACGGAATTAGCTTCGAAATCCACAGACCATATAATGACTTACGAATGTTTTGAATAGTGGTGTGTCTTAGTTTGCTTGCTTCGACAATGTCTTGGTCTACATGCTCGTCCGACAGGGCTTATGGAAAGGGTAGCAATTAGGATGCTTGTAGGAATTAAGCAAAGTATAGAGAGCTCACCATGCAAATGTTCAAGATCGTGGATAGCCTTTTTCGCATCGCTCAATTGGGACTTGTCCAAAGCTGTGTCCTTTAGAACAGACCGCTGAAAGGCAGGGTAGTTCTGAAAGCTCTGAATATTTCTCAGAACGGGAAATGAAGTTTCAAGAGATGGAACATCGAATGGGTACTTCGCTTGATTCATGGTGCTTGAAGTTTGAGTATGAAATTCAAACATTTGAATTTCACAGCTCACACGTGTACAGAGTATCACGTGCGCACGCGTCGCTGACTCACTGAATAGGGGATTATGGCCCACCATATGAATCGTCAGTTACATATATAGGATGTACATTGATTATGTATCCCAGGGGGCGGGTGTAACTCGAACCTTCAACTCGAACTATTTATAGTATTACTATTTATAGTATTCAGGTTTAGCTCATGTCATTCTCTCTGCTTCATCGAAGGAAAGAAACTGACAACTTCCATTTCGCTCAAGTCATAATATGCTCCTGCTCATCGCATGTCCATCTCGCTACAAACCTATTATACAAAGTCATTTTCTGCTCCTCTCAGTAAACCTTCACAGGCCATACGTCTCAAACACCTCCTTCAGCACCTCCCATCCCTTTGCCTCCTCGTCTTCCGGTTTCACCGATACCCGAGGGGTGAAGACAATGTTAAAAGGCAACGGCTGTGCGTTTGCTGATTCAGTGAACGCATACGTGTCTATAGGATTTTTCGCGTCAGGCGTAAGGTTGAAAGCCCATAGGACGAGCGCCAGGTTGAGGAAGATTGACCCGGTAGCCATGTGTTGACCCGGACACACCCTTAGATAAAGAGTCAGTAGAGTAGATAGGATGAGAGATATGTGGGGAATTGAAAGTAGAAAGAGGGATGAAGGGACTTGGAGAACAGGAGAGAATGCGAGCAAGAAAAGAATCTCACCTCCTCCCATAACCAAACGGATAACTCTTCAAATCATCCCTAAGTTTCGCCCCGCCCTCTTTATCGATTTCAATCCATCGACGAGGGTCAAATCTTTCTGGATCGGGAAAAATTCCTGGATCCCGGCCCACAGACCAGACGTTGCCGATGACAGTGGATCCTTTGGGAATCAGATAATTTTGCTATTCACGACGGGTGTTGTTAGAGGTAAGTGATGAGTAGAGGGAAAGACACCCACCCAGACAATGTCCTTCATCGCTCGATGCGGGAACCCGCCAGCAGATACTGGTCTCCATCGATATGTCTCATAAATGAAAGCCATAGTTTTCGGTAGACTGTCTTGGTCAGAGAACGTCGGCGCTGGGATGATTGTCTGTGTCAAAAAGGGACGACGTTGCAGGATACCAACTCACGTCTCCCTCGACCAATGACGCTGTCTAGCTCATCCTGGATGAGATTCTGTGATTCGGGATAACAAGTGGCAGCCATTAGAGCAATGCTGGAAAGGAAAACGTTGTTTAGCCGCAAGCGAAGAAGGGAATATTGTAATAAATACGCACCTGATTGCGCTGGCAGTTGTGTCTGAGCCTGCACCAAACATACTCCCGGCGAGATACGCTATCTCGTCGTCAGATAGTCCCAGTGAAGGCTGCTGTTCAATAAGATATTTTCCAAAACAAGCAGGAACCTCTTCTTCGCGTCCCTACAGAGATATCATCGGATCGGACCTTTATCGACATCAACAACAGAACACAGACCATCCTTTCCCTAACTCCTTGAAGCTGGCCTTTGAATAGCCCAAGCTCCTCCTTGTGCCCGATCTTGAGTTCATTCAGATACCCGGGAACGTACTTCAAGAAAGGAAAAACGTCGACTTTCCATGCACCGGGACGCATGTTGTAACCAATGCGGGTAAGGCAGCGGTTCAAAGCCTGGATTGCAGGATCTTCATAACCGAGAGGAACCTCGCCATAAGCCAGGGCCATAACGACAGTGGCAGCATATCGTCGAGCATGATCTTGATGTCGAGTAGAAGTGAAAGATCTGGTCTCGCTGGACTTGGTGTTATGCTCGTCGATGATATCGAGCATGTGTTGTCGCGCAGTCTGTGTTTGGACAGGGTGGTAGGAGACAACGATTTTGGGCTGTAGACGCGACTGCAATGCTTTCCGAAGCTTCTTGAATCTCTCGCCGCTCCTGATTAACAAGATCCTCATATTGCCGCTCAAAGTCTCTCCTGCAGCAATGGAGGTAGGTCGGTCAACGAGGTCAGCGCCGTGCTTTTCCATGATTTCGACGGCTGCTTGATGCCGACCGACGATGATTGTCCGGTTCCCTCCTAGACCTGCGAACAAATGGTAAGAGAAAGCATAAATGAGAAGTTGAAGACATACCTGGAATGCCCTGCCTTAGGGAGAACACCGGTCCATATTCTTGCGTCCATAATTCGAATCGCCGATAACAGCTAGATGATTGTTCAATCGAGTTAAAGCATCACAGTGTCGTATGAGGAGAAGGAGCAGGATTATTCATCAATCGAGCAATCGAAAGACATAAACATGACAGACGCTCACAATGAAGGTTCGAAGGTGTTACCCCAAATACTATCAGCGGGAGGACCAGGAGGCAAAGGAAGACTGGTGCTCGCTCTAACACGCTTGCTGATAATGTAGGCAAGGACGCAGGTCCCGATGAGGGCGATAAATTCGAGAATCATACTTGATGTGTAGGAGTTAGATAGTGTTTTTGACTATCCCGGAATAATGACATACTTTTGAGATATTTCTGTTTCGCCCTTATACAGCAGTCCTTCGCTTCCTGGCGAGTCATCTTATCTTGAATGTATCTTTGCGGTCGTACGCGCGCGCGCGCGTGGTGCCCGTTCGTAATCTTCCAAGGAGGTGAAGTTAAGGTGTAGTTGCGAAGAAACTATTTGCGCGGAAAGGCAGCAGTATGAACCGTGGGTATGAAAGAGTAAGAGCTATGCGATAGCGTGTCCGACGCACACGAATCAGATTCAAAGCAAGAAATAGCATTCGGGCAAGACAGGAAGTTGCGGGGAAGTGGGGTCATCTGGGGGGTCCATGGATGACCTAACTGCCCTATAAAGACATTGAAGACGCTGGCAGTAGCTGCGAGGATATTCTGAACTTGACTTCCAAAGTCACGGTTTCGTGCGTTCGCGCGCGCGAGAGAAAAAAAAGCCACACCATCCCCATCCGCGCCCCAAACTTGAAGGAACTTGCAAGATATCGGAAGTAGGCAAAAGCACCAAGATTCAGCCTTCTTATCGGAAGCGTCATTCGAGGAAAGATTGCATTCTGAACAAGTCGGTGGAACTACAAGATATGGTCAATGTGAAAAACAGTGGCGTTGATTCTCAGTTGGCTCGCAAATTGCAATCAGCTCCTAATTCAAGGCATTGAAAGCGGGAATAGTCGTTCGGATTGCAGCGTAAAGCTAGTTGGTAATTCATCCTACATATCTCTGCAGGCCACCTTTCTAGCGCAGCAGATTAGTAAACAAACAATCTGACGAACAGATGAATTTGCGCACCAGTTCCGCCGTTGGGTGGAATCCTTCCACTGCATCGACTTCGGTCGGGGACACGTATCGAAACGATAAAATCCCTTCCAAACGAAAGCTTGCTTGTATCCGGCGACGGTAAAGGATCACTTCGACTTCTTCGACCTTCTTAGAGTCCAGTGACTAATAGAGAATAAGAGTTGGATTTGAAGGATGAACGGCTGAACCTGACATTGCTGATGGGAGTGGAAAGAAACAACCGATGATCGACGCATCTATTCCGAGTGCTCCTATTCTCCCATCTCATACGCCTTGAACATCATGGTCTACACAATCGTCGTTCACTTGCACGCCAACGACGAGCCAGGATCTGTCGAGAAAATCAAGGCAAAACTGTTGGAAGCTGCGTCGGTTTATCGTAAGGTTTGTATCAGTTCCTTTTCCTACCACCGCTGCTGGACATCTAAGTTTAGGATAAAGAAACAATCCACTGGTTCGTGTCCCAAGACCATGAAGACCCTCGGTCTTTTACAATTGTAGAGAGATACGAGCAGGAAAGCGTGAGTACTGAGGCGTCTCCTGGTCTGATTTTCTCATTCGCTCTCCAGAGCCAACAATACCACCTCAAGAACCCATACTGGAAGACTTTCGATCCCTACGTCAAGCCTCTTTTGGATCAACCTATGGATATGGTGTGTTGTTTCTGTCTTACCGTCCGTCTTGTTCAGTGACTGTCTCTTTATCTAGCATCGAGTCATCGAGCTCGATGACGGCGAGGCCAAATATACTGGGGATGAAAAATGGATTCAGTGATTAAGTACTTGGACTAGGCACTCGAAGTGTGAATGAAAGATATCTGCTTCAATATTCAATCTTCGCTAACAACGCATTGTGCAGCTGTGCTACTAGTACGATGACGAGTTCAATCGCTCAAGTTGGCTAGAAGGAACTAATGGAGGGAAGTTACAGGTCCTTTTTCTTCAACTTGTTATTTTCTCGAAATTTGAATGAAAATATCCTTACCTTATACTTATACGATATTCACTTAACAAGGCTTAACATCGCATTGCACTACGGATTAGTAGCATGTAGAATATCTGAGAATACCATTGTGACATGTCCTTCTTAGCTCAGTTGGTAGAGCGCGTCACTAGTATCTTCTGTCTGTCGGAACACCCAATCTAATGACGAGGTCAGTCGTTCAAGTCGGCTAGAAGGAACTAACGATGCACGCTTCATGCTTTCTTTTATTCGATTTGTTATTTTTTGTTCGCTATACACTCTAGTACTAAATACCTCACAATTTGAGACTTTCTTTCGAGGCTCAATATCCAGCAAAACTCAACGCAATCTTTCAACAAATCGAGACACGTAATACTTACCATACTTTCTCTTACTTTCTTGACCTGCCGCGCTTTAAAATGGGACCTCTTTTCCACTCTAACAGGGGACAAAGTCCTGATGGCCTTTTGCATGTGCTTTCACGTGGACCCTGTCTAGATCAGCTCAAAGTAGACAGCATTTGAGATTGGGGGAAATCGAGAGAAGGGTAAACCATGCGCGATGTGCAAGTTGCAATCATTGTTCCACTTTTGTGACGGTCCACTGGCATGCCAGTGGGTCGAAGATGATTTAACTTCGTTGAAAGAAAACTTACAGTAGACGAGACGAGAATCCACTAGACGGACTTTTGATCAGTATAAGTGGTGGTACATGTAGTTCGTTTAGACAAGGCTAAAGGATAGTAGCATATTGCTAGGTTTGAAGATTTTCTGGATGGCATGGTTATCGAAATGCAAGATGCGTGATGCAACGCGTTCGTGACGCTTGAAGCCCATCGACTCGTCGATGGTCAATGAGGGACGCCAAAATAATGCGTAGGTAAAGTATCAGCTCAAAATGTAATTAGAAATTAGAAATAAAAAACGTGCTCTCGCGGTGGCTTGTCCAAAGACTGCATGCGGCTACGGCGGTGTGTGTGTTTGACAAGAACAGGTGAGCGCCATAATAAAATGCGTATCTATCATTTTTAAAGTTCAATTAAACAGAGCTCAAACGCATGTTCTCGCCATGCCTTCTCCAAAGGTAGGTAGGTAGACCCAAGGTAGCACGGTGCCATTGAGAAAGATTAAGGGGTGCTTACGTGACCGCGACAGTGCGCGTGTTGAAGCTTTGTAAGTTGGAAATAAAATCCAGTCAAACCGTTGAAAACGGCATTCCTTGAGAGTTTTGTGTATGCGACGATTAACGAGTGAAAAATTAATTTAGAATTACTCCTCATGATTGCATCAGCAAAACCTGTATCTTTGCTGGAGAAAATCAATAAATTTGAAGCATCTGTGGAAACCTGTAATTTCGCTTAAGGTCCCCAGAGAGCTTCAGATAGCTCCAGAGCTCTGACAGCTGCCGATTAAGCTGTCCAACTTCTCCAGCTTCTCCAGAACTCTCTGGAATATGTACCCTTGCTTGCTGATGTGCCAAGCCCGTTGAATAGATGAGGAGCAACAATTGGCGTAATTGAGCTTTGTAGGATGGTAGATAACGTCAAGGCAAACGGAGTTTCTTGGGAGTTTCCAGAGAAGCTTCGTAATGGAAAAATATATGTAGCGAGAAAAGAGAATCCTATAAAGACCATACTGGTTGCGCATTGTATCATCATCATTTCCACTGTGAACTGCAATGGCCTATTCCGAATCGAAGAAACTGAGCATCGCGATAGTGTGAGTTTTACTCTTTTGACTTGGTGATACGGGCTGACAAAACCATATTCTAGTGGGGGTGGAATCGGAGGCTTGACGTGCGCAGTGGCACTCAAGGATTGTCCTAACATTGAGATCAACCTCTACGAGCAAGCACATCAGATCACCGAGATCGGTGCTGGGATAACTGTGTGGCCTCGTACATGGGAAATACTCCAGTCTTTGGGACTGGAGGAGGAGCTGGTAGCAACACTCCAAGATGGGTTCCGCAAGGACCAAAGTAAATGTTGATTTTCTATTTCTTCTTTGCGAAAAGCTGATAGTTCCAAGGCTTGGGATTCGAGTTTCGAATCAGTGATCGAAAGGATGGGTTTACGTTCCACAAACTATTCACCAAAGGTTCGTCGAGCTCAAGAAGGAGAGTTTTAACAGCTTACCTACTTGGGTTAAGGTGGTTCGCCCTGCTTCCATCGTCAAGAAATTCAGAACACGCTTCTGAAGCACGTTCCCGAATTCTGCCACATCCATCTGTCGCACCGTCTTATCCGCTGTGAAGAAAGTGAAGATTCCGTCAAACTTTATTTCAAGAATGGAGCAGAGAAGACGGTCGACGTTCTCATTGCCGCCGACGGTATCAAATCCGTAGGGCGGGAATCTATCCCAAACGATGGAATATTCTATACGGGAACTGATGCTTTTCGAGGTCTGATTCCCAAGGAGACCTTTGCTCAATTGTACCCAGGTCATAGAACCCTCGAAGATCCTATTATCGTAAGCCACATTGGTCACTCGATAAGTACATGGAATCCTAATACATCTGATTTTTATGACAGTATTGCGGCAAAGACAAGGTACTTACTTGAACATGCTGGATAAAATTTATCTTGATCATGTTTTTCTTGTAGCATATAGGCAAGTTCTACAGAGGTTGAGCGCTAGGAGTGTTCATTGACTTCTTGTAGTCGTTTATCCCATCAGTCGAGGCCGATTCATCAACGTAGTGGCCTTTTTCACGAGCTTGGAAAACGAAGGCAAGCCGCTCGACCGTCCCGAGATAAGGGAAGCCACAAAAGAGGAGGTGCTTAAAGAATTCTCTGGATGGGAGGACGAAGTGATTCAGCTGCTTAGCGTAAGTGACGTTGAAATTTTGATTAATTCGGTATTTGAGACTTATTTGTGGTTCGCAGAGCATTGAAAAACCTACGTGCTGGGCAATCCGAGATCAATACTCGATGAAGACATACGTTTCTCGCCGCATAGCCCTACTTGGAGATGCAGGTGAGTGTGTATTATGTTTTCGAGGTTTTTTCTTATACTGAATCCACCGAAACGAGCAGCTCACGCCATGAGACCTCATTTGGGTGCGGGAGCTGGCCAGGTAGTCTCCTCTAAGCTGACTGATATATATACTGACGATCAATGACTATGCAATGGCCAGGCAATCGAGGTAAGCACTACATCATTTAAGCAAAAAAGCACATCCTGAAATATGCTCATAGGACGGATATGTCTTGGGTAAACTATTCTCAAGCGGTGGCCCCAATAAATGGGCTCGTGTCATTGAGGCATACAACTACATTCGTCAGCCTCTCGGAAACAAGGTCCAACAAACTGCACGCAAGGAAGGCTTTTACCACGAGTTGAACGCGCCTGAATTCGAGAATGTCACCATGGGCCAAGTTTTGACTCCTGAACAACTCTCTATCCTGAGCAATGCCGTTATGCAAAGCTGGACTTGGTCGGAGGATGATATAAAGAAAGACATGATGAGGGGAGTTGAGTTTTTGAACGAGGGCTCCGAGTAGATCGCAGCTAGGATCGGGAAAGCTGTTTCAGAATCGCAATATACGCGGAATATTTCTCACTTCCATTTCATTCTTTTTTCTTCAAGTTGCTGCGGCTACCTAGCGACTCTTCACGTTTACGATTATGATTTGCAAACTACCTGTACCACAATCTTACTTGGATATCAGCTACCGTACTATATTTACTTTGGTACTGTCAATACCAAGCCGATATCAAGTACTATCAGGTTGACTTCCAATTACCGTTTACTTATTTCCGTTGCGAAATTCATGAGCCGTGACTTTTTCGGTCATCTAACTTAGGAATGCAACAGACAGAAGTTGAACGAGGATTCACTCACATACTTACTTATGATGTATAAGGCACTGGGTGCATATAGGAACACAATGTAGTATCTTTGGAAGGTTATGGAGGAGATTTTTTCCAGACACACTATTACAGATTGAAAAACACTTGCCGTCCGATGGTCTTTATTCTTAAGGCCTGACGATCAGCATTACGGCAGGTCAAAGCAGTCCGTATGAGATAGCACTTCTCTCGAGTTAAGGTAGCGATGCGTGGAGTGTAAATATATTTACAAAATTTGACGTTAATATTGTATCCATAGTCCTACTGGGACCTCTGAATCAGAATGCAGAATTGTACAGATTAATTAATAGTAAAGAAGCTCCTCTGAGAAAAGGGGTTCACGATTCGCGCCCAAACGCCTGTAACCCATGTACAATTAAAACAGAACTATCTAGTGCATTTCAATACTAATAATCAATAAGATATCTGTGATTTCAGGGCTTCCAAGAGGATCATGTCTTCGATTGGACTTCGTCGACGTACTCTGAAGTACTTGGGCTAGGCACTCGAACTTTAAATACCCTTACGCTTCAATCTCCATAACACTAGACTGTTCTGACCTTTCTGAGCTGACATTTGAGCTCGTAGGGTAACATCGAGTATATCCTTCTTAGCTCAATTAGTAGAGCGCGTCACTAGTATATGCAGAGTCCGAGCCCATCTAATGACGAGGTCGGTCAAGTCGGCTAGAGAATTTCCCTTTGATGTTGGCCTTGTTTATATTTTTGTTCGCCCTACATGCACGCCGTGGTAATCACTTCGCAGTGCGTGATGCGCAGATTTTAGTTGACCTTGGACCACCTTTGTGACTGTCCGTGGCTCGAAGAGTGGGCCCCTGTGATTCAACTTCGTTGAAAAGAGAATATTGTAGATGAGAATCCAGCAGACGAACTCTTCCAAGTTCTTAATCTTGTCAGCGCTACCACTAGTATTAATGCTAGTAAATTCGTTTAGATGAGGCTATAGGATAGCGTATTGCATTATTAATTGGATTTGAAGATTTGCTGGGTGGAAATGCATGATGCGTGACGTAACGCGTTCGTGACAATTGAAGCCTATCGACGCATCATGCCCAAGACGTCCTGAGGGAAGCCATAATAATGCGTAGATATCAGCTCAAAATGTAATTCGAAATTAAAAATCAAAAATCAAAAAATGTTCTCTCCCGTGCGGCTTCGACGGTGTGTGTGTTTGAAAATATCATGTGGACGCCATAATATTAATAATGGTTAGATATCACTTTCTCAATTTGAAAGAGCTCAAAGACGTGCTCTCGTCATACCTTCTCCAAAGACTAAGGGCTGCATTCTCGGCTACGACGGTGTGTGTGTTTGAAAACACAGGTGAAGATGTATGCAAGCTTTGTA